GCGCCTCTCTGTTTGAGTTGTGGGCTGAGCCGCGGCTCCGGGCTCGCTCCAGGCACCCTGCAGCTCCCTCCCCACCACCGCCGGCGCGGGCGGCTGCCCGCCTTTATTGCAGGGGTGGGTGAGTTCAGAGAGCAACAGGCAGGTCCTGATCAAACATTAACAGTGGGAAGAACTTGCTCGGTTTTCCCAGCACCGGGGACGAAAACCAGCTGGGAGGAAACCCTGAGCCCCCTCCGAGTGCTCTGAGCGGTGGTCCCATGGAGCTGGCGCTGCCAGCGGGAACGCTGTGCCAGTCATGCTGCTCCCAGCCCGGCGGCTGCGTCTCCCCAAGCTTCGACGCTGCCAAGGACACTCCTGGTGTCTTACCAGGAGATTTGTTTTCCTCTTCTAACCTCCGAGTGCAAGTGAGCGTGAAGCCTCGAGCCCGACCAGAGCGGAGGTGCCACAGGGTTCAGTGACCAAAGCCAATGCCCGTGACACAGATCAACAAACAACTGAGATACGGAGAAGCGAATAAATGAAAAATAATGATCCGGTGTAAGAAACACATAAGGAAAAAGAGCCTGAGCAGCTGCATGGTGCCAGGATGCTTGGAGGACAGCACAGGAATGTGGCTTCTGCCAGCTGAGAAAGCCCGAGCGCGGTCGTCGGTCATCGCTCAGCGGTGTGATTTAACCGTTCCGATGAGGATAACCACAGAATAACACAAACGCAAAGATTACGTTTGGCAAGCTTTATCTCGACAGGTTTCCTGCTTCCCTGTCTTAGGCGCGATCAAAATCAGTGGTTTAATTTACCAATTCACATCAGTCCACCCCGAGGACACGTCACCACCGGGCCTGTCCCTACTCCTCGCTGACGTCCCCAGCAAGGCTCTCCCTGGCCACAGCCTCTCCAGCTTTTCAAGGAAGGACCGACTGCAGCTGCGGTGAGGTTTGAGCCAAGCGTTCGGGCTCGCTGCCAGAGCGGGAGCTGGAAGGCACTGCCGGGAAAGGACACGAAGCTGGGGAGGTGATGCCCGCTCCTGCCCTGCCCGTTTTGTGGGTGCAGGAGGGCTGCCAGGCTGGGGAATCCCTCGCCTATGGCAAGCGCATCCCCCTGGGACGGTGCCTGTGGGCTGGTCCCTGTGTGTGCCCTGGGAAGCAGTGAGGGGTCCTGCAAAACACCCGCGCAGCCGTCTGCCAGCGGAAAGGGGCAGGGGCCGGGCACACGGCCGTGTGTCAGGGGCCACGTGCTGCCCTCGGCCCTTTGCCACAGGAACGGGAACTCTGTCCTGACTCCTGGCCCCGCGGCCGTGCCCAGCCTGAACCCGTCCTTCGGCCCCATGGGCAGCACCGGCCCCGGTGGGAACCGATGGCCATGCCCAGCCCGGCGTGCCCCAGCAGCTGGCACAGGCTGCCTGTCCCAGGGATTGGGGGATTGGAATAGATGATCCTTTGGGGTCCCTTCCAATCCCTGACATTCCGTGATTCTGTGCGATTGACGGAGGTATTGGAAAGGCACCAATGGAATGAATGAGCGGGGCAGCGCCAAGGCAGACTCTGCCCCAGAGCAAAGTCCTGTCGGCCGGCAGGACGGGCTGGCACGTTGGGTACGGCGGGCAGGAGCTCTGGAGAGGGGACAGGAGAGTGGAATTTGGAGGGGAGCGAGCAGTGCCGAGGGACGCGGGGCTGGGTGAGCTTGGAACCGCTGCAGCACGGAAAAAACAGGGCTTTTCTTCTCGCCTAAGCTCTGGGAAATTGCAAAACAAGGGGAAATTAGGCAAAACACCCTGCAGAAGGACCCTTGTTCCTAATCGCCACGTGCCCCGCGCAGCCAAAGCCCTGGCACAAGGGGAGCGTGACCTGGTTTC